TTTACTTACGAAGTGTTGGCATACCCTTTTCCTTATCGCTCGAACCTCCTTCCCTTTCTGACAACAATACCCACTGATATACGCAAGGCTTGTCTTATGTCTGCCCACCACCCACGCTTTTATATATTCCCCATTAATTTACGAGCTAATGACAAAATCTGATATCAAGTCTAAGACAACGGGGCATTGTTCATGTTTTCCCACAGTGCTGTATGCCTGCATTGTTTGTGAATAAAAACCTTTTGTTACAAAATGAACAACATTTGCCATGCAAAATATACGCAGTTCGTGGGATATCTGAACATTATGGTTGGACAAAATTACCCATGTTAACATTACCTTATAGTCTAATCACTATATAAAACATGTTTGTGTGTCAACTATCTTAATTATTTGAATAGTTTAGCTGGGCATAGATAAACCTTCAGTTAATACCTTAGACTAGAAAATATAAGAGCAGTGTTTCTTCCAGACTTTTTTCTCCGGGGGGGCACTTGAAATTTTCGGGGGGGCGGTAAACTTTCTTCGGGGGGGCGGACACTGTTAAAAGTATATATTTTCTATATAAATGATATAAATTTCATTTCGTTCGGGAGGGGCGGTAAAAATTTTTCGGGGGGGGGGGGGGGCTTCGCCCCCCCGAAGAGATGCCTGGAAGAAACTCTGTATAAGAGACGTCTTTCTGTATGTATAGTATCCCATCTATAAGCATATTTTACCTTCAGTTAAAACCTTAGACTAGACAATACAATAAACGTATATCTGTGTGTCTAGTATCCCAGCTCTAAGCATATTTTAACTTCAGTTAACACCTTAGACTAGACAATATAAGAAACGTATTTATGTTTATCTGGAGGGATAGAGATACACGTTCAAACATTACGTTAGTCTAGACCAGGGGTCTCCAAACTTTTCAGTACGAGGGCCGCATTAACTACCACATTTCAGTTCGGGGGCCAGTTTCTTCCAGGCATGTCTTTGATTTTTCTGGGCAAAGTTCCTCAGCCATCACCAACAAACGTTTTTTCCGTGGACAAAAAGATCTCCGCGGGCCGGATGAGAGGACCTCGCGGGCCGCATTTGGCCCGCGGGCCGTAGTTTGGAGACCCCTGGTCTAGACTCTGTGTGCAACGTATACCTGTCTCTCCACTATCTTAAGATCAGTGGTTTATATAGGGATTAGTGAACACAATGGCAGTTGAACACCAAAGCACAACGATTGGGTGTCAGATGAAACCAGACCTAACAAGCAAGACACAATCTGTTTTCTTCTTTCTACTTCCTTACACAATCACATCATAGCCTAAAGTAAATAAGTGATACTAAAGTTTAAGGTATATTGAGTAATTATAAAGTTAAAGGTATATTGAGTCTGCTTGATAAAATAACTAATCTTGAACTCATTTTATCCTTATAATGCCAACTTATTAAAAGATCAGGTGAAGTAGAGTAGACTTGTTTTTTTAATGAACATACGGTTTTGGTAGTTGTTTTACCGGCTACTGTTATAACCAGAGTTTCTTACAGGCATCTGTAATGACATGACAGGCAGAGCCCCCCCCCCCCCGAAGAAAGTCTACCGCCCCCCCCCCCCCCCCGAACGAGATGGATTTTATATAATAAACATACACTTTTACTAGTGACCGCCCCCCCCCCCCGAAAATATCAAGTGCCCCCCCCCCCCCCGGAGAAAAGTCTGGAAGAAACACTGGTTATACCCTCTAGCCACAGACATAGCCCGACACGCTATAACCCCCATCACACGCACATTGAGATAACTCGTTAAGTCTTACAATTAAATAGAAATTACTGTTCGAATAAATTAATTTAACCCAAGATGCCAACTCTTTTCCTATCAATTTTACCTGGCCAGTGTAAAACTCATTAGACAAGTTAAAAATTAGGAATTAAAAACTATGAAACGAATCAATAAATGCAAGTCATTAGGGCAACATGTGTATGTGGTCAAAAGATGATTAGAATTATTAATGACGTAATTATATACACAAGTAGGCTGTACATCAAGGAGTATTTCTAGCGACATAAAATATTGATACTTCCTTTCAAACATATGTAGGCCTACACTCCCACACACACTCACACTCATAGACACATGCACACACTCACACTCACAAACAAACATACACACTCACAAACACACACACACACACACCACAGAGCAGGAGAAGAAAACAAGAGAGAACCGGTCTCTCTAGGATTTTAATGATGTAGTTAACATGCACGCGTGTGTCAGTGTGGCGCCAATTTGATTGGTACGTGTGTGTGCGTGCAAGTGTGTGTGTATGTGCCTGTGACAGTGTGTGTGAGTTTGTGTTTGTGCGTATCTAGGCCGATGTGTTAAATTGTGTGGCTATGTCTGTGTGTGTTAAAAGCTATGCCTGTGTGTGTTTGTGCGTTGCTATGTATGTGTGTGTTTTGCTATGCCGTTGTGTATGTTTGTGTGTGTGTGTGTGTTTATGCCGGTGTATATGTGCGTCAGTGTGTGGCTATACAGGTGTTTTTTGTGTGTGTTTATTTCTCTGTGTGTTTGGCTATGCTGTTGTGTGTTTGTATGGCTATGTCTGTGTGTGTGTCTGTGTGTGTGTGTCAGTGCAGACACCTGCATGTGTGTGCGTGGGATTAGAACTGTCACAGCAGACGAGAGACTCTGACCTGGAGGGCGCCTCCCCCTTCCCTCCCCTTCTCACCTCCCCCCTCCCTCACCTGTAGGGCAATGACAGGCGGATTTACCCTCTAAATCCGCACTTCCGGTTCATTAAATAAATCCTCGCCATTACTCTTTGTCTCTCCCTGCCCATGCTTCCTCCACTCATTTAAAATATGCTCTCCTTAAAACCGTGGACAGCTTTGCATTAGGAAACACACTGGTCTTTAAAATAACGCATGAAAACCTCTTTCCGTATCAACAAATACATTATATTTACATTTTAACTATAATTTTCTTATGAAGAAATCTTTATAGTTGCCATTATTTAAATATAATGGTTGAGATATTGATACGATAATTCATTTCTAATTTATTTATAAACGATTCTTTAGACATATGATTTGGAAAAAACACCTCTAACTACGTTATTCCATATTATGGTTTTGTAATTAAGCTGAAATAAGAAACTCAAATACTCAGTTTCATTAATCACTAGATGATGTTTTGTAAGTTATAGCTAAAAAGGCATCAAGATAGTGAATTATTTTCTGTTGGTTGATTTGTAAATATGTTTTGTGTTGATTTTATCTACTTTTTGGTGAATATAAATGTAGTTTATGCAACCAAATTGCAGCTTTAAAAAAAAAAATTGAAATGAATTAGATTTCTACTAGGAATTAGCGATTCATTTTTTCATTTGCTTATAGTTTTAAATAGATTTTATCTACTTTTTGACGAACATAAATGTTGTCTTAAAACGAATTTTAGCTTAAAAAAAACTTAAATAGAGAACTAAAATTAATTATTTTTCTATTCGTTTCTAGTTACATATTTTAACACGCTGAATGCATTTCTCAATCCGAGCTTGATGTATTGATAACACCCCTTCAACCGTGACTTTCGCATCACGTGATCAGCATGCTCGAGTATCACCCAAGGTCAAGGCCGTGCGTGTTCACTGGACCGTGACACTTTTGATTCCCCCCCCCCCCCCCCTCCACAACTCTTTCCATGTGATCCACACACGAAAGGTCATCGAACTACGTAGCTAGGGGTTCCAAGCGTCTGGGAATTGCCCAGGCAAATCTAAGGCATTAGGTCACACTAATTAATGAGCTAGTTAAGTCTGGTTTCACGGTCTGGAATTAGAAAATTGCCAGATAAACATTGGTGTGGGCGGACTCAATAAATAGTCTGTGAGTTAGCAGCGTTAATTAACAACCAGAAGGCCATCCTAGTATCACGTTAGAGACATGCCCTATCTGCATATATATATATATATATATATATATATATATACACATATATATATATATATATACACACATATATATATATATATATATATATATATATATATATATATATATATATATATATATATATATATATATATATATATATATGAATAAAAGCATCGAAATTTACTATAATGACATCACACCTATGATAAAAACATAATGGCATCACCGTTAAGACGTTTTGCTAAAATAACTTACAGGTGATTTAACGAAACCATGCATGGATCTGCCGTTTATGTGCTAGTAATCAAATATATCAGTCAGCTTTTTTAGTACTAATTATGTATGTGATTAACAGCGTGATGAAATACACAACGGTGTCGTAATTAACATGCAATTAAGAAGTTGATTGTCTTTTTTGTTATGTTTTGCACAAGCATGCATATTTAGAATGGCTATGTTTTGGTACATTACGTTAGGGAATAAAATCATTGCTCAAATCTATGGCTCGCCATGTGGTCTGGGGGGGGGGGGGGGAGTCCTCTTCTTTCTTCTTCTTTATTAATTGTAATACTGGAAAGGATTCCCTCCAACACAATTAAGTATTACATGTCTACATGTAATGTGCCGTAAGGGTTGTTGACTTCGATATCAGCCTGCTTTTGTTTTTGGATTTGCTTCCATAGCCTTTGTCCAACCAAGAACAAACTATAAGGCAGCAGTTGTTTGATTTTGGAGTTTTTTTTCCTCCAATATGGGTTGCTCTCCCCAGCTATAGAGTCTCATCTGAAGGGGGAGTTCAAACTTGGAACTTTTCGGTTTAGCATGAGGGTGTGGGTGGGTTAAAGGTATTATTAATCTTTTAGTACTAGAATTAACAATAAGATCGGGTGGGGGTTGTGTTAGGGTTTCTTTACTTTTTTCCGTCTTGTATCGTCTTGTACTACGTAACGGAAATGTTCAAACATGATGCTTATCGTGGGATATTTCTTTTGTTTCAGTATACCAAAGCTTACAGTTCTAATACCATGTACCACGTAACGGAAATGTTCAAACGTAATGCTTATCGTGTGATATTTCTTTTGTTTCAGTATACCAAAGCTTACAGTTCTAATACCATGTACATCTGACCCCCTGGCCTTGCTATTCCGTGAGACCCATAAGCCTTCCAAGGTAAGTCAAAGATGCTTGACCCCTGACTCTGTACATCTGACCCCTGACCCTGTACATCTGACCCCTGACCCTGTACATCTGACCCCTGACCCTGTACATCTGACCCCTGACCCTGTACATCTGACCCCTGACCCTGTATATCTGACCCCTGTACATCTGACCCCTGACCCTGTACATCTGACCCCTGACCCTGTATATCTGACCCCTGTACATCTGACCCCTGACCCTGTACATCTGACCCCTGACCCTGTACATCTGACCCCTGACCCTGTACATCTGACCCCTGACCCTGTACATCTGACCCCCGACCCTGTACATCTGACCCCTGACCCTGTACATCTGACCCCTGATCCTGTACATCTGACCCCTGACCCTGTACATCTGACCCCTGACCCTGTACATCTGACCCCTGACTCTGTACATCTGACCCCTGTACATATGAACACTGCCACCGTACAACTGACCCCCTTCCCCGCGCATCTGACCCCTAACCCCTGTACATCTAACCCCTCATCCGGTAGTTCATCCAATCCCTAGAGCCTTCTAAACCAAGACGCTATTGCGATTTGTTTTTATCCTTAGCGGCGTATCCAGAGCGTGACTTAGATTAGCCATCAATGACAACATCCATATGCGTCATAAGGTGTGAGGGGGGGGGGAGGAGAAGTTCTTAGATTATAATGAAATATATAATAAAGTGATATTAAAGTTAATAAGTTAAGAACATTTTACACTACCATTGAACATATTGCAGTGAGAATAGAACGCTTATCTTGATTAACAATACATTGAATAGTTTGTTGTAGATTTTTTTTTTATTAAAACGTCGATCATTAGAACACTAAATGTGTATATATCATCATCACCAACTGATAAATACATTAGAACAAAAAATAAAACCTCACAATTTTATATATTTTATATAACTTTAATACTATCAGTTAGGTACCATTTTCTTAGCTACAGCTAGCCTACATTAGAGGTTTGTTATCAGATACGTTATGTACCTTCCTCATCTATCATACAGTTAGGACTAAGTTGGATCTGTTGTAACTCTGTAATGGGACTAAGATTTTATAGATTCTTACCGTATGATTATGTAAATAGGAAGGGAGTATCTTACGGTAATACTTGTTACAGTAAGTCAGAAATAAATAGATAGACGACTAGATTTTAGAAAGCAACAAAAAACGAAACAAAATTTCTCGTACACTCTATAGTTCTATATACGATTCAAATGCTGTTACAGTCGAGCCCAATATTAATACCCGACTAAGTCTCGAAGACTCGCAGTATTCTACATAGCCAACGTGACCTCGATACCCAGATGTGCCCGATTACTGACCTTATCCTCCGGTCACGTATGACTGCGCAGGTCTGCTACATCACGTGACATGGCCTTTTAGTGCACAGCTCGTTTTACATAATGACTGCGACAACTCGAACCGGGGTACTGTAGCGGGTAGAAGGGAATGAACTCTATGCGAACGGGTGTGGTCAGACTTGCAAATTGTTTTTTGTTGACAGTAATGTTTTGATAAATATATTTGCATACCATTTTTTTTTTAAATACAAGTGTCGGGCTTTTAAGCTTCTAATAATGAAATATGTGTTTAGTTATGGTCTTAGAATAGTGAAATCAGTATTTAGCTATAGTCTTTGAATAGTGAAATTAGTATTTAACTATAGTCTTAGAATAGTGAAATCGATATTTAGTTATGATCTTTGAATAGTGAAATCAGTATTTAGCAATTGTCTTAAAATAATGAAATCAGATGTTACATTTTTGTAACAAAATTCGGTACTCATAGTAACAGCTGAAACATTATTGTAAGATTAGTAACATTTCAGTAAAATTATAGCAAAATCAAAGCTTCAGTAACATTTGATGACGCCGACAATCAAATCTATGATTGGCAGCATTTCAGTAACGTACGACAGTACTAACAATGAAAACTTTAACTTCAGTAAGACTTCAGTAACATTTGAGGATCGGACCATCAAATCTTTAACATCAGTAACTTTTCAGTATCATCCTACGATCCAGTTAATTAAAGCCGGCTAATGACTTGGCCGTGTACTTTAATCTCCTGACCTCTAGGTCAGAGGTCAGCCTGTGGTCAGATGTCTTGAATAAATTACACAGGGGCCACTTAGCACTGTGGTCTGTGGAGTAGACATTTATTAGTTTCTGTCAGGCGTAAATTGTTTTACCGTACTTAGTTATATTTAATAAAACAGCATACATGCTTAGCTGGGATGGGGCAGGGGGTGGTACATCAGAGTTGACTATTTAGCTCAGTAAATTAAGCTCGGCACACCACTGTGTTCATTCATCACTTTACTGCATACAGCACTCAACAGCAAAACAAATGCTTTTAAAATTGATTTAGTGTGAATTTGGTTCAGAGTGCTATGAATGAAATGGAGCTAGTGTGGTATTGGTGAGCCCGCTATTCTTACCTGTCAGACCCAGCAGTTTTCGTTTCTTACAGGCATCTCTTCGGAAAAAGTCTACCACCCCCCGAACAAAATGGACTTTATATAGAAAACATATACTTTTACTAGTGTCCGCATCCCCCCTCGGAAAATGTCCGCGCCCACCCCCCCCCCCCCCCCCCTAAAATTCCAAGTCAAGAAGAAACACTGATTGCGTGTTAGAGCTTATTAATGAAATAAACGGAAAGTATTCATAGTGAAGTATCCGTGAATTATTGTGATTTACCCACCAGCTCCTGATTGAGTGTGATTTACTGTCTAATCCAGGATTTAATGTGATTTACCCTCCAGCCTTTGATTCAATGAAATATACCCCCCAAGCCGATAATTGACTGTGATTTATCCCCCCTCCCCTGTCTGTGATTGTGTGTGAAATACTACCTCACCCTAGTTCGTGACTGTGTGTGATTTCTTCACCCCAGACCAAGCTGTCTGTGTTGTCTAACTACCAACTGTCAACCACAACTGCTTTGTTGGTTGTTAGTGGTGTTCGTGTTAACTAGGTCATTTCAAAGCGTCTTCACAGGGAGCAAACTCTTAACAATTTTACTTTTTTTTAAAAGAACGATTATATGACGCTTCTTTTTATTGAAAAAAAAAAAATTTGCGCGCGTTATCGGTCAATGACATGTGGAAGGAGGGGGGGGGGGGGCTACCCCGCCCCCGCACCAGGTCGACCCCGTGCCTATTCTACTAACAGTACACCTGACCCAGTCATTTAGGGACGCGTGTACTATTAGCTGGGCTTTTTTTTTTTACCTTGTCCTCTTCAAGCACGTCTATACCCCCCCCTCCACCACAAGCACGTCTAGACCCCCCCCTCCTCCACAAGCACGTCTAGACCCCCCCTCCTCCACAAGCACGTCTAGACCCACCCCCCTCCACACCCCACCCCCCTTTCCCATCTTTGATGAAATGATTATTTTAAATGTGTTCAAACGCTGAACTAATTCACACCATGCATGACTAATTGACACCGTGTATGATTGAATCACGTGCCTCGTAATGACATTATCACCCTAACGCCTGTGATTGCATCGTCTGATATGGCCAAAACAAAAAATGTAACCTCATCGAAAATGAATCTCATAGCACCCAGTGCACTCTTTAGGGATTGCACGATCGCCCAGCGTTTTTGAAATACATTAATAGAATAGATAAGGGTCGGCGTGGTCGAGTCGGTAAAGTTCATGGTTGCTAAACCGAAAAGTCTCGAGTTCGCTGCCCCGGGCAGATGAGGCTCGCTAGCCACTCTTCTAGGAGAGACAACTCCAAATCAAACAACTGCTGCCTTGTTGTTTGTTCTTGGTTGAACAAAGGCTATGGAAGCAAATACAAAAATAAAAGTAGGCTGAAATGTGAGACAATGGCCTTAATGGCGCATAACGAGTTGACACGTATGCTTAATTGTGTTGGAGGGGATACCTTCCAACACATGTATACTAGAGCTCTGGTTGGCGTACCTGATTGTGTAACTACAAGGAAGCTTAATGGAGTCGAATTTCAATTTTAAAAAAAAATTATAGTTAATTTCCTTACTTATGTGTATGATTAATGTTGGTTATTATATACAACAAATAAGTTTATTTAACAAGTACTACATATGTACGATGCAGTGCCAGGCACTGTAGCAAATATTACAATTCCTTGCACACATATTATGTTAATACGAACCCCCCCCCCCCCTCCGGCCCAATCATCAAGCAAGCAGTAGAGAAAGATTGTTTGCAAACAGTTTCTAAATTTTAGTTGTACAAAGCACCCGTGATCACTCATTATAATAATCAACCTAATCATCACCCCCCCTACACACAGAACAGCCCCCTTACATATTCACATACACATAGAACAACCCCCCCCCATCCTAATCCTTCATAACACAACCACCTTCTTCCTCTGACTTCACATCTAACCATATACCATTACCCCTACCCTTAAACCACAGTCCAAAACTGCACACACCTTAAACCACATATTACTAAACACCCCCCCCCCCCCCAATCCTGCGACTCTACACTACAACTGCCCCCCCCCCCCCCAGTACAACATACCTTCCCAACCTTAATGTACAACTCCAGCTAGGTTACATCATAATATACCCCCCCCCCCTAAATGAGTACCAAGCCTTACAGCACGTTACGATACCCCCCCCCCCCCCCCTCCCACCACACCGCCTAGTAGCGCCATACATCTACACCGAACAATCCCGATTCAGGAAACATATTGTGGATAATTAATGACGGTGTCAAATTCTCCAACACCTTGCGGTAATGAGTTGAAAACTGACCCTGACCTCTAGTAGCCAGTCGAGATATTCACAAGACAGCCGCCATATTGGTGTACACAGCATCCATCATTAACTGCTGAGTTAACGTTTACGAGAGCGCAGTGAAAAGTACTTGTACTCCAAGAAACCTTTGGGTTTTAGATTTAGAAATGAAACCCTAACAAAGGCCATACAATAAAAGGACAGAAGTAAAAAGAAAGGGAAGTAATTTGTT